CTAGCTGCTTTTCAAGTTCTTCAGCTGCTTTTGGATTTATTGATGTGGTAACCAATGCATAAAATCCACATGACTCTGGAAATTGAAAGTATTTTTGCAAAGACAACAGTGGGAACAGAATTGTACATCGTATTATTTTTGGCTAGATACTCCAGGAACAATGCCTATTGTTTGGCAGCTAGCAACAGGGAGGCTGTTTTAGCGATGTAACAGTTCAGAGCCTGAGGGTTGTTCCTCAAAAGGTTGTGATCTGTTTTAAGGCATGTGTGATTCAAGGTCTAAACCATTTGGCAACATCTGTTTAAAAATATGAGAGAATACGGATTAAAAAAAAAAATGCTCTGTTAACTTTGTGTCTTTCGTCTTGTGCGTTCTAATGTTACATATGTTCACAAAATAGTCGACTTTCTATTTACTCTCCCTGCAGGTTTTACTTAATAGCATCCCGCGGCTTGTCTGCGAGACGGCACGGTGGGGCAGAGCGTGGGTTTCCGCTAGTTTTGAAGAGCAGGCGTGCAAGCGAAAGGTCTGTGCTAGAAGTCTCCGCCGGTGAGCGAGGTGTAAACGCTAGTGGGGCTGCGGCGAATTCAGGCGGCGCCTCTGGCCGCCCGCCCGCCCGCCCCGCGCCCTTCCCCGCTCTCCTCCTGCGGGACGCCCAGCAAAACGAAACGGACCAAACCAACACGCAACAAGATGAAAATGTCGACTTTTTCGCTGGAGCACAGCTGCTGCGTTGCAGTCCTTTTTTCCTGGGGCGTGAGAACCCGGGCAGTAGCCATGCCTTCTTCTTAAAAACGTATTTTTTTTTCCTGGTCTGAAGGCATATGACCAAAATTGTCCTTTTCTACGTCAGTCTTCAGAAAAGCCTGGTGGAAACCCCGCGTGTGTTTATAAATATTCACATGCACACAAGTGCTTATATATGGAGTTCCTGTTTTTATATATGTGTATACTCATTTCCCACTTTGGCCCTGATGTTCTGACTAGCTGAACACAGCTGCGGCTGTGCAGACATATATGGTAACTAGCCATCATATAACCACAGCGTATTCGAGCTCTGACTCACGATCTGTATTGATTCCTGTTATTTCGAGAGTTTTCATCTCCGGCCAATGCAGGAAAGGTGCTTTGTGGGCAGGCTATACGTGAGCCTGGGTAAGAACAGCCTAAGATAGAGCGTGTGCCTGAGGACTTGCAGGCCTCTTAGTGAGAGTTCATGTAAATATTTCAGACTGTGAACTCCAGCAGCCGTGTGCTGCCCATTCAGTTGCCTCTGCTATGGGAACGGTGACCTCCGAGATGGCAAGGCAGGGAGCTGGGGCAATCACCTCTTATGTTTTGCAGCATGAATTGCGGAGTTTGTAAACTGGGGTCCTGAACTTGTCACAGATGGACCCTTTCCTCGTACGCATGTACTGTGTGGTGCATGTTTGTATTGTATATATAGGAGCTAGGGGATGCCACTGTCAGTGTTTTTGATCCTGAAGTGAAAGAAAAGCAGCAGAATAAAATCCGGCGTTTCCAAACACAGGCAGAGGAAGTGGCGGTATGTTGTATCACGCGAACTTTAAGTAAACTGAAGTGACAAACGTGCCTTACACCTGCCATCTGGCTAGTGCATAATCTCTAGCTCATTCCAGACCACAAACTTTAATGAGCATTTCACAATGAAAAGCAGGTATGCGTTAGTATATGTAGGTTTCAGTCCTTTCTCCTTTTGGAACCTAGTCCTTACTAACAATAAAACCAGATTGTCCTACATATGCAGAGCAGGTAGTTCTGTTTGGCAGAGATGTAGAAAAAGGCCTTATTTTCTTACCTGAGTTTGTTCTGTCTTCCTGGTAGTGAGGGAAATTACCCTCTCAAAGCAAAAGGAAGTTGAAGATTTGCTAAATGTTTTGGGAGCATTCTATAGACAGTGACATTGAAATATCAAGTATGATTATTAGATTTTATATTTAGGAGCTATTATTGAGCCTTATCCTAAGGATTTTACTGAAACCATTGTTTTTAAACACCCATGTCTAGAAGTTAAGAAACTGAAATACATTCATATTAAACACCTGAGGCATTTAGCCTGCTTTTTAGAATCATTAGACTCCTTGCAGGGTAGTGCTTCCAGAGACTTAAAAAGGGAAAGATTTCATGTGAGGAGCTTTTGACCACTGATCACTAGGTCTGACCTATTGTAATTGTATTTGAATTAACTTCTTGATGGGAGATAACAGCAGATAAAACACAATCACAAGCAATTCTTAGGTTAAAGTGTGGCTTCAGTTCAGAAACTCAACTTGTTAGGGAGGTATTTATACGAATCCTGATACACAGTCAACAATGTCTTTCTCTAAGGCTGAGTATTAACAAAATTTATTATGACTCAGCTATGAAGTCTGTGAATTTTTCCAGTATCTACTGAACAATTTTCCTGGGAAGTAGTTCTTTGCCTGGCTCTCATGGTTGGTTCTAAGCCTCCTCTTACCAATACTCCTGAGAATTTCTGGTTAATTTTGTGGCACAAAGTATTTAATTATGTGCTCTGCCAAGTGAACACAAGGTCTCAAATTGGATTTTAGCCTCCCTGGGCAACTATTTTAGATGCTTTGGTAGAATGCGCATGCATATTTTCTGCATGCCAGATCCTGGCCTCGTATCCATCAAAGTAAATCTTCAGCAGTTCCACTGAACTGAAGGCTGAAGAGCAGTCCTAAGTTATGTTATTAAGGTCAGATTGTGACCCTGAAACTGGCAGAAACCCAAAGCAAGAAACTTGTGTGGGAAATTGGGGAGGGTATAAATTAGTACTAGTCAATGTTTTTTTAAAGGTATGAGCAAAGATGAAAGTTTCTGATCATTGTGGATATTACTTTACAGCTGTTTTGGCTACACCAAAAGAACCCCACTCTGTGTATGTGTGATATGTCCTTAATTTCTGACATTGTCCTACCTCAAATAATAACCAGTTTCACTTTTCTCTCTCCTCACCAGACCCTCAAAAAAACTTAATCTTGGAAAAAGGAAGTTCAGTGATAGGTTCTGGTTTTTTTTTTTTTCCTCCAGAAAATTTAAACCTTTATTTTCTCTCTCTGCCACACAAAAATGGCAGGGCTAAAGAGTATTAGATAATTGGGGTTGTCGTACTGCACATTGTACTGCAGAAAAAAAATAAATTGCTGTTTTTTTGCCCAAGGGCTCAAGCAGCAGTCCCTTCATTTGACTGGGAGCACATTATTTGCCTCCCATTCTAGACTGCACACAGTTGAGCAGCATGAAAGGATTCCTGTACAGCTGCACTGTGCGAGTGGGCGGGCATCTCATTCAGTAATAACTTCTAATTTACACAGCCATGAACATCTACAGCTATAAATAAACAGTTCTGACTGGATTTGCATATTTACTCAAAATAAAATGAGAGATGGAAAGAGATTGGAAGAAAAATCTGATGTAAATGTCCTAAAGGCCAGATCCTTACTCAGTGTACCTCGGTACAGCCTTATTGAAATTTCAGGGACAATGGCAGTTCGTGATCAATGATGTGCACTCTCTGCCTTACATAGCTTCATATGCCTTAAAGAGAAAGAACTGAAGCAGACCCCAAGATCCTAGCATCTGTGTTTTGGAGACAGAGGTTCCTGATCTCGTTCTCAAAGCACACAACTCGGATCCAGCCTCTTCCTTTTCCAGGCAGCATGCAGAACATAATAGAAAGCACCAGAGCAAAGTTTTTTCTGACTCCTTTTTAAATAAAGAAACAAAAGTCGCACAATTCTCTCAAACTTCTCTATTTCAGCAGAAAAGTCACTGACATCAGAACCCAAAGTTAATCACCATCCTGGCGGTAGCTGAGGGTGCGATGTGCCATGCACAGCCTCTGCCTGGACGTGGAAGGAACCACCCTGCCTTGCCAGAGCCCAGGCTGTGTTTTGAATTTCTGACATTTACAATGTTTTCACTGGACTATCTGTACCAAAGCCAAAAAAATGTACAGGGAGTCTCCTGAACTTTCTCCTCTTCCCTAATTCACTTCACTTGTTTTTCTTTTGTCTGGCTCTCTGAAATATTTCCTTTGATCAGCTTCTTTCAGCTGACTTCTCTCCATGCTCTCCTTCGACTTGAACAGAAAAGAGGGAGCCACACATATATATTCCCTTTGCAAAGTTAGCTGGAATGAGTAATTGAGTAATGTAGACAAACAGAATGTGCACACGTCTTTCATTGGCAGGTAGAGTTAACATAGTTTGCAAGCTAGTCCTAGTACGTTAAATACCTAAGCTAAAATTTTATCCGGTGCTTAACACGTGAGAAGAACAATCTTAGGTATATGCATTATTTTTTATTGCTCACAGGCAGCTTACAATGTGTTTCATTTTTACTAAGCTACAGCAGCATTAACAGAAATGAAAATAACACCCTGGTGAGTGCTGAGTGCACAGTAGCTCTAAGCTATGGGTTTTGGCAATGAAGAGGGAGTTAGGTGCTGAACTACTGCGGGTAGTTTTAAATTCTCATTTAAATGCACCACTAATAACAGAGAGATCATTCCTTTTCACATTGACCATTAAAGAACACTTGCACTGGAGTCAGTTTTGCCTGTTTATTCGAGTTTACAAAGCACATCTCCAGTGTTTTAGATGTTAACAAGATGTTGAGGCTAATAACAGAAATCAACTATATTGAGCAAGATTAGTAAACATGTGAATGGAGTGTAATTATATGGCAGGCAGCTTTATGTTAAACAGCGCTTTAAATTAACATGCTTTCTGTCAAAGCAATCATGCAGTCAGTATAATTAGGTTACTTTTGCTGCAAGATTAACTGAAACCAAGAAAAAGGAAGAAAGAGT